GGGAATCCCAAGAGTATTACAGAGCCTTCTGAGGGAATCAGGTAAATCTTATAGCGATACAACCAAAATTGTCCGATCCGCTCCTCCTCCACCCCGAGACGATAAAGTATGACCGGCCCCTGGCAAACTTAGCTCATAAGACCGTTTCAGATGTGAATATGTGATTGCCATATGAAGATCGTGTATAAAAAAATCTGTTTTTATCAAACAGTTTAATTATTGGAATCATGCATATGGTGGATCATCAGGGCCTAACTGAGGCGGGAGCCTTCAGATTCTTTCCACTAAACCCGACCCCTCTATATTGTGGACCTTCAATTCACTTATCGAAAACCTCTTTCGTGTGACACAAATAAGAGCCGACCATTCTCCTATTCATTTCAGAAATCGCACCTCGTGTTACCTATGGAACCATCAGTTGTCTTCAGAAAAACGTTCCAGATTTGGCCACAATTGACAACGAAATGGTACTTCGCATGCCCGGGAAGGCATTTCCTGAAAAGTGTGCCTGGGCTGCGAGAATAAATCGCGATAACGTGATTGCTGTAACATCGGGAGTAAATCCAAAATGTACCTCATCCAAAGGTCTCAAGGGTTCGGATAAATCTATCTTCGATCCGATGAATCAGATGGTTTGTGTGGGCACTGCAGGAGAGCGAGAGTTATTCTTCGTCGGAGGTATAATGCTGCTCATTAATTAGAGAGGTTTGAACTTTAAGAAGAGGAACAGAACGGTGTTTATTTTCAAAGCAGGCTGGGTAATTTTCGTATTTGAGGATTGAAAATTCGTTCGGGTATCTTCCTCTAGAGCAAAGGTAGTATCGATAATTTGGGACTAAAAATTCGCCTGCCTCATGAAACCTAGCTTCTGATGTGACAAATAGATTAAGACGCCAAAGACTGAGCAATGTATCTGCAAATAGGATTTTAACAAGTAAACGGCCTTCGAAGAAGGGACGTGAAATAAAAACTCTTAAAATTCGTCTCGGTTGCATTACGGATTTATACAGAACCAGTAACAGGCATATCACGTATGATTAAACCATCAAAGGCTGTACCTGAAAAGAGAAAATAAAAACACTGTAGTACTATTGATCACGAATGCTCTATTGTAAAACATCGTTGTTTCACTGATTTTTTTATTGTTCCACCTTTTTAAGCCGCTGCTCCATGCGTGCTTGGAAGCAAAGATGTCGACGTAGGCATTGTGGTCGATCTGAGCGCAGAGAACATTCCATTCTTGTTGACAATCGTGGATAGTTTGGAAGTCGACCCCCGGGAAAACCACATCGGTGTCATTGTTAGCCAAGGAGCAAAAAAGATCCACGTCAAACTAAGCGACCCTGCTGGATCTAAAGATGAAACAACTCTGTTGAGGTACATACAAGACGCTGCTAGACACGGTAACCTTGCGAGTTCTGCTGACGATTACGAAAAGTCCGTTAGTTTGGCGCAAGAGCTGTTCAGAGTTGAAAATGGGGGAAGGGAGGGTGCTCAACACGTTCTTCTGGTTGTGACCGATGCAACAAATGAATTCATTGGTGCAACAAGCGCTGCTAACAAGATCAATGAATTGAAGGTAAATTTGATACTGTTAAATTACGATGCGGCTAATGACAATAAGATCTGGAGTGTAGAGCTGAATGGCCACTGAAATCAACAAATACGAACCTTAGATGGTGTTTAGGTGACTCAGACTGGGACCATACCCAGTTTTTTAGCCCCAACCCTGTTCAGCCCACTGTTAAATATTGTTAAACGTACTTGGCATGAAGGTTGTCGAGTCCAACTCCGGGTCAAGAGGTCTAGGCTCTAACCCTGGTCGAGTCATTTTGCTCGTTTTGTACCCCTCCTCCAGGGAGTTAAGATAACTTTCTGAGAAAGTTGACAAAATATCATGGGGTGGGGGGTGGGGGAAGGTTGGGTTAGCGTTGCATAAATCTGTATGCAGGTTCTACATGTAGATAAGAGCGGCACTGAAGGGTGTAGTGTATATGTTGTTATGTATTTTTGACTTTTTAGAAGTCTCAGCGAGAAAAGGACCGAATTATCATCGTTGGGATCGGCGACGATGTGACAAATGCAGCACTGGAAAATTTTGCAAACATCGATGCTGCTTTTGCAATCAACACCTTGGATCGGAAGGCAGCAGCTAAAGATTATTATACAAAAACATTGAATTATATTTTAAAGGAAATGTGTCCGTAAGTACGTATACTGTTTTACTGTAGTTGCAATTTTAACCAAAATTGTACACTTCTCGATGATTGATATTCCTCTATAGGGTCCCCTGTTTTGGTGGGTAAACCGTGCCAGGTTGGTGCAGTGTAAACCAATGAGAACGAAGATGGGGAGAATCTCTGTCAAATATTAGTTCCAAAATGGTGTTCATAGTGTTAAACGACAAGAGATTACATATCGTACTTATAAGAGGGTCACTAGTGGGTCAAACGTTAGCTTAAACGGCCAAAACATTTAGCCGTTATGAGTAAAAGTTGACCACTTTTTGGTCAAAAAGAAAAGACGTAAAAAATAAATCACTTAGAAAAATTTGTCTTTTAATCACATAAGAAGGAAGTTAACCGTTAGTCGTAAAAGGGCCCAATTTTTAACCGTTAGCCGTAAAAGCCGTCACCTCATTGAGACCCTGTCATGATTTCTTGTTTTTAAAAATGTACAGTGGCAAAGTGTTGTCTGGTGAAACTGAATGATAAAGATTTTCGAGAGAGAGTGGGACAGAGTGCAAAAGAGATACAATGTAACATGCAATGTCTTGTATTACTGAGTTGAAGGACTTTTCAGTTAATTTAATTTTTCCATCCTTTATATCTCTTCTGTGGTTTCGTTTTATTCCGTTTTGAAGAATCTTTTACTTTATTAGAGAATTAGATCAAGGTTACTTCCGTCAACTCTTCACCCCATTTACAGGTAACCATGGAGATCCGGGAATCAAGTACCCTTAATGGCTTGGAAGGGAACGACTGTAAGCAGAAAAATGAATAATCATTGACGATTGCTTATTAATGACAGGCTTGGGAATTACTTATTGTGGAATGAAATTAAGTTGAATACTCATTAAACCGGCTTTGATAATTATAGAAATAAATACTCTTTATTCGATGGTCTTACATATCGTACGCGCGGATTTTTGCCGGAAAGTTTTAAGAAAGAGTCGTGCCGGAATATTAAAGACGTGCCGGAAAGCTTAAGTCGAGCAGGAATGTTAATAAGTCGTGCAGGATATGTTGAAGTCGAGCCGGAAAGCTGAAGTCGTGCAGAAAAGCTGAAGTCGCGCCGGGAAAAATTGAGGTGGTGAAAAAAAGTTGATGAGAAATACGAGATGGCACTAACTGGGCTCCGTATCAACCCGAAGGATACATTTATGCCATGTATTTTTTTTCGCTTTCGCCTGGTTTCGCATACGAGACGCAGAAAAAAAAATCTCACACGAGGAAGGTCACGGGGGGTGCCCCCTACACCCATGCCTCTTTCCCTCCCTCCTCCCTCCTGTAAAGGTCCATGGCACTAATGACAGTGTGCTCAATTACTGTTGAAGAGCATTATGCAAAAAGGCTCTTCTGTCAAAAAGACAGGAAGGAGCAAAACATGTGGCAATGCGGGCTCAAGAACTGACATCTATTATGCATATTCCTGAAGGTTATTTCTCTACATTTCCTTGGAACACTAAAAACATCCAGCTTGGCTTGATTCGAAAATGAAAAGTACAAGTTCCACTCTAAACGGGAATGGTCGGGCCAATTTTAATAAGACAGATTTGCACTCGAATGTTACTGCAAAAACTTGCTCTTCTCTCAAATTGAAAACAGCAAGACAACACGGAAAGATCAAAAGTAGTTTTTTATCTTCGTTTATCGTCTGCACATCAAAACTGATATCATTTAATTCATTTCATCGTGAAATTGAGATGAACAATTGCTTATACAATTGAGGAGAAAAAAGACTAAAACCTTTTTTTCCCATGCGTTTATTTCAGAATTTGCATTAAGCCGGATACATCAGTGCACTCCCTCATCTTATCCCATACTAAGTAATTTCTATATCACCATTAACCTTATCTATAAATATCTCTTAATTTTCATCGTTACCCACTAAAATCCATCATGACCTTATCATTGATCAACTGATCACTACAATTCCCTGGGTGCTTTTTCGGCCATTTCCCCATTACCGACCCATCGTTCATATATCATCCTTAATTGGTCATTTTGAAGTTTTTGGTTCCGTGTCAAAATCTCTCCGGTTTTGGTCATTAGGGTTCCTCAAATTTCTCCTTTACCTGCACCTGAAGATAAAACAAACGGTTCATTTCAGCGTGGACAGTCACAAGGTTCCTAAAATTAATCAAAGTCGCTACAACACAAAATTTGTCAGTAAAACAGTTCTACCGCAATTTATTTCATCTGAGATCAGGAGAGGGAGAGAGAATGGAGGGGAGACCGGGTGTCTATTTCTTCCCTTGATTTCCAGACCTACGCTCGTTTTTGTCATCGGTTCATTGACAGGGCGCCATTCTTAGCTGAATCATCGGCTCAAGCAGATCACTTACCTTTTTTTTTAACCTGGCTGGTGAAGTTTCTAATTTTAGAAGAGAACTTAATCAAAAACATAAATTATCGAGAACATCGCAATTATTCCTTATGTCAAACTTACGACAGATAGCTGTTATAATATCATCCAGTTTTTTCCCATAATAACGTCTTCCTACTTCCTGTGGGTATCTGGTGTTGATCACAAAAGCAGCGGTGATATGTTTATGACTTTTCACTTGACCTTCGATGATTTCTGGCATTTTTTTATTTTCGAAATCATCGAATCCAACAAAGATGATTCCTTGAAATTGAATCTATCGAGAAAAAATAATAATACGTCTTAAAACCATCTGCGGTATCTAAAAGAAATTTGTCATAAGCTTTAGTATCAGTTTACGTTCCTATTAACTAACATGACGTTTTGAATGGAGTGATGAACAGCCATGTAAAGCTATTGGAACAAAAGAAACTGTTTACACGATAAGAGAGTTCAAATCCCTTAGGAAAGACTTGGATTCAAACAGGACCACCATTCTACTGCTTTGATATAACCATTATGGCGGTCTCGACGTCTAGTGAAAACGATCTATAACCGTAAGTCCTTGTACATATATTCACTGGAGTGAACGTAATGGCGTGGTTAACATAATTTCGACTGACTGTTGTAAAGTTACGTACCCAAAATCAAATTAGAAAAAGGGGAAATATCACAAAGAACCAATGAGCATTCGATGTTTACGGGCGGGCAAACTGGGCGCGAGAAAACGCCCGTTTTTCATTTGGAGAAATGCGACAGCTTTACCTCGAAAAGGGAATTGGGTGCCAAATGTACTCTGAGCTTGGTTTCTGATTGCGCCACTGTTTTTAACCAATCAGATTCAAAACAAATAACCAATTGCGGCTGGGTCACTCGCGTTTCCCGCGCCTCTTGTGGTTTTTATTTCTCACTGTGAGTTTTTATTGGATATTTCCCTATAATATGATTGGCTGTTTGGTTTTACGACACTCAGTCGATATGCACTCCAAATGTAATTAAAGCTCAAAGTGTTACCGCAAGATTGTTGATCATTTCATCAGCAAGATTAACATCAAGATCCTTGATCTTGTCCATTGCGAGGAGAAGAATATTTGGTTCAGTTTCTCGGTCTCCGTTTGCTGTTGTGAATAACTCTTCCACCCTCTTCAAAGAAAGTTTGTAGTCTGCAGAATAAGTTGCGTTTTTAGAGGCATTTTGCACGTTCCTTAGTAGAGCTTCCTTATCCTCCGAACCAGCTATGTCGTTGAATCTCACCAGTATGTCGCCGCTCGACGCAATGACACCAAAGTGGTTATCTTTGTCAGCCAAGGCCAAACTATGAACGAGCGAGACCAGAAATCGTATGTTCTTCTCCATCAGGTCTACCATAATGCCTACGTCCATCATTCTGGGAACGCACGGACCAGCTAAAAAGATGGTGCCGGGAAATCCTTTACTAGAACAGCTCAAAAGTATGTAACTGTTTTGTCAATTCTAGAAAATGCGTCCTTGTGGTTTTGATGATACGTTTAAATAAATCAACGATTTAACACGTGTAATTAGACTTGATTGAATTAAGTACACTCCCGAACAGATCTGCCCTATGCAATATGTTTTGAATTTATCTGCACTAGTATAAATAAATTCTCACAGTTATGACGGGTCCGTCTGATTCCTTGAAAAGCCTGAAACCTCTTTTTCTGTCTCTATTTCACCTTTCCTAGTTGAGGGGAGCTGTAAGGGAAGGAAACCTCGCAGGCTGTTCCTTGGGAGAGATGCTTACTGAGAAGGGCTTTGTTCTTCCGTGTGCAGAAAACATTGTAAGTGAAACACGTATTTGAATCCCCTCACCGATCTTAAAATTTAAAATTCACCTCTTCGCTTTCCTCAGATGAAACAACTGCCTGTTTTCTACGTTCTAGTCAGTATGTACGCCTTGAGTTGTTATCTGGACGTGCTCAAAGTTACACGTCTGACATGTGCGAGAAGAGTTACTTCAGATGCAAAAATGTATAAGATCACTGGTGCTGGAGTTAAATACTGTTCTTGAGCTCGTCCATAAATTTAGGGCTCAGTCATTATTTACTAGGGGGGGGGGGAGAGGACCTGAGAATTTTCGGGAAAATCACATGGTTTTTAGGGGAAGTGAAGGGGATCATTCGTCGCCAACAGGGCATAAAAGGAGGACTTTAGAAAATTGACTGCCAATGAGGAGCTAACATTAGAATACTACGGAGCCTTAATGGAGGAAGATCAGGTAAATTTAATTGTGACACAACCAAAATGATCTTTGTCATAGCGAAACATTCACTCTGACGAAGGGCTAACGCTCGAAACGTCAGCACTGTCACTTTTTTACAGTGGCCAATTTACCTTATTATCTCAGTTGATAATACTAAATTACCCCATTCCTGGCAGGGCCTGTCTAATCACTATCGTATTTCATACCTGCAACAAAGATCAGCCCTCTATGTGCACTAGGGTCTGTACACTCTCTTTGGTCCACAGGCTTGAATACCCGCTTTCCCGGTCCGGTGAAATTCGACGAGGCGCACTTAGGTTTTTTTCCAAATGTCACAGTGATCACATGATCGCGCTTTAATCTCGCGGCCCAAGCGCATTTTTCAGCAAATTTCTTCCCAGGCATGCGCTGTACCATTTTGCCATCAATAGCGGTCAAACTGATGGCCTGTTTCCTTAAACAACCGATTCCCCCATAAATTACAGGAAGTAGAGTCTCTGAAATGAAAAATATGGAATATCTATGAAGGGGTCTCATTACATTTCTGACGTAGTATGGTTAGTGTTGTTGCCATCCTTTATTGAAAGGGCTCGATACGGGGGCCTTTGACTTTAGAGAACTGATAAGTAGCTAGGTGGTACGATTTCTAGACTTAAAGGGCATGGTCGGGTATTACCAGCAGCTTTTCTGACTTGGAGTCTCTGGTATTCTTGCTATTTGATAAATAAACAATAGCCTCTTTTTGGCGCGTAAATATGTACGGATATCTGTCTCGGACATTATCTTTTGCTCGCGCGCGATTGGTCTTAACGCAGAGCGTGACCCAATATCCCCCTGCTAAAACTGGGTGATATGCGAGATTATGATTCATCCGAATATTTTTGCTCGCGAGGGATTAGTGTAAACGCAGCACGTGACCGAATATCTCCCAGCTAAAACTGGGCGATATCCGAGTGTATCACCCATGTAATATTCCCCAAATTTAAACCTTACGTCAATTACGATAAGTCTTCGTTCCAACTTAAATTCACGATGAGAGTGGACTTAATTCTTGTTACAGAAAAAGGGAAATCTTTTCATGAAGTCTTACTAGTGATCACTCAAAAGAAAACAATCTACGCTGCACACAGTAAACTGTTAGTAAACATTTTTTCACGTGCGTTGCAAAATATTTGAAGGATAATAAACACAATAGCCTCTACTTTGCGCAAAAATATGTATGGATATTTGTGCTTAGACATAACCTGTTTCTCGAAGCTCAAAGTTTTTATCAAGCTTCGCTCTCGGAAAACTCTTCTCATCTTGGATCAGATAGTCTCCGTGGACAATCCGTCCATATTTTCGCGCCCTATAGAAGCTATTGTTAATTTAGCCCATGACTCCGAGATGAATAGTTGTTTAAAGGATATACTAAAACAGTGAGATAATAGGGCACAAAAAGATTATTTTGAGATGATTCATTTATTCCTGCAAAAATTACGATAATTTTGAGCGCAAATTCTGCGCGAGTTGCTCGAAGGGGAACGGCAAAGGATATGCGGAGTTTGAGCAGTCAATCAGAGCTCGCCTTCAAGGCAATCCACTGTTTTAGTATACACTAATAGTATATAGCCCCCCTTGACATGCATCCTTGCCATCCTTTGACACATTTTCCTTAAATCACAAGGAGGCATTTGTATTAGGGTCACATCAAAACAGTGAACACGGGAAAAATGGACGAGTTAAGAAGTTATGATTTTCGCTAATTTATTCTGACTTCATCCAAAATTTCAATTTTCCCTGATTCAAATGTGATTAAATGGTTTTTTCCTTGCCCTGATGAATTTTCCCCTTAAGGATGCATCAGAATTTCTTAGAAGATATTTCAAAAAATAATTTATGGTATGAGGAAAATATTACCCTTAAAGTAATACACAATGTTGGAGCCATATCCACCAGCTTTGTCCTTACAGTCAGCTTCGAAACCACCTTTATAAAATCTCCATAGCCCATGCGCTGAGGAACACGTGTTATTGCCATCGAGACCAAATACTCTGTACCCACGTTTAAACGCCAACCAAGCGCACTTTTCAAACGCGTCTTCCCTTGTTAGGCTGCCATCATCGTCGATGAGAAAGCACTTGTCGGATTCCAAAGAATTCAAGGCTTCTAGGCCCCTGTCCGTAGTCTTAGCGAAGCAGCCAAATTTTTTTGCTTTCGGAATATCTGGAATTTTGGATTCTGAGAACAATAATGCGTGGAAGAGGAGTATAAGTATTTTTAACGTCAGCTCGTAAAAAGCTCTTGTAATGCCCCCACAGACAGAGTACCTCAGTTTCTTTAAAAACCTTCTCCTCCTAATCATTTTAGTTCGATTTGTATATGTCTGATTTTTTTGTCCAGAAATACGACCGCCACAATCCGTAACAAAGTAAGTGTAAATAAAACTACAGTACCTTAAAATGAAGATGACGAAAGCCTTGAACTCAGTAGAAAAAATTAAGTGAAGACTTTCTAATCATCAGTAATTTAAAGTGGAGATCAACAACAAAGAAAATATGGTCAGTTTACTTAATTTTTCTAATAACTGCTTTTCTAAGTAAGCCATCGGTTCTTACCGCATGGTTCGAAATCAAAATTCTCCATAATTTCGTTCATTACTTTCTGTTTATCCCTTTCTGTACCATCCACCTTTGTCCAATGAATAATTTTGGTTGCAAGGTGGGCAAGCACTTCTGTGGATTTCTCGGATACCATCGGGCCCAGGAGTACAGCGATCACGGCAGTCACATAAGGAGGCTATAAGAAGACGAATATCAGTAGGACGGTTTCAACCTGTCCAAGTGTAACACAGTGGTCAAACTTCTACGCATATGCGAATTTGTAGAGACTAGGAGGTCGGAAGCAATTTGTCTCGCAGGAGTTATGAACAACCATACTAGCCAGTAATACAAAGTGTTTTAAAAGCGTTTAACTTTTTTCATCAAGCTCACGAAAAAAGAATGGTAAATCCACGGTAAGTAAATAGACTTTAGATTCGATGAGTCGCGAAATTTCCCCACTTTTGCTCCTTAAACAGATTTCCATGAACGTTTTAATTTTTTCTCATATTCAGTGCATGACAGCGATTATTTCTTATGTTTTTCTTTCAAATTTCGCGCGGGAAATTAGCGCGCAGCTCACAAGACCAAAATTGATCCACATGCGCATGCCTAACCTTTACGTTGAGCGCTCAGTTATAAGTGCAAAGTGAACGAGAGATACAATATGAAATGAAGCAATACATTACCCTCAGTAAAGATTTCATTGCTGATAAGTCGTGTGTTTTACCATCCGTTAAAACGAAGACGATGTTTTTAGCATCCTGTCGTTGGCGTCTCCATGTTTGAAATTCATCGTATTTTTTATGTTGTTTAAATGCCATTTTCAGTCCCTCGTGAAGATTAGTTATGTTATCCAAATCATGCATACTGTCAATCAGCTTCAAAACTTGGTGCTGTCTTCCAGATTTTCTTCGAGAGAGCTTCAAATTGTTTACGTATTCCGCTCTTTTTCCAAATTTTACCAAGCCAAGGCGAGTGTTGTCAGGTGAAACGAAGAACCTGCAAATAATTTGTAACTAACTATATAAGACTGATTAAAGAATTATGATTCAAGTAAAGAATTTAGAAGCCAGACAGATAATAAACATTCATTAAACGAGGTTGAGAATGATATCACGAGGTCTGAGTTATTTGCCGAAGCCAAACTCGATTATTCTTTTATGAACATTTTTAAACAATCGGAAGAAAAGAGGACTCTTCGCTGATTTTGCAAAATTATGAGAACACTAAACGTACGAGAGGTTTGGAAACTAAGCAGACTGTAGATAAATTTCAAATATCTCAACTGCTTTGCTGAGTTATGTTCCAAGTGAATAGAACGCATTTCGATTAAGTGTTCTAACACTAGAACCAAAGTAATCAAATCGGCCAATCAGGGTTAAGATAAGCGTCAAAAGGGACTCGCGAGAACTCAAATTAAAAACAAACAGACTGCCTAAAGTGCAAGAAAACGTGAGTGACCGCTGACCGAATCGCTTTGGTCTGAGGTTTTGAATCAAATTGGTTGAGATAGGAACACGAGTTTTCTGGACCAATCACAAAGCCCACGGCATTTCCGAGTTACTTTCGACACTCAATGAAAAATTTCTCTTATGAGTTCAAATCTTGATTCTGCAGTTCAAATATCTAGCCTTGATTTTCATTTTATTTCCCTTTGATATGTTTTTCCTTAAAGGATGTATTCCGAACACTTTCAGGCAATCGGATGTTGAAATACCAAAACATTTGTAATCACAACAGGCATTTAAAACAAAGGTTAGCATTATTGTTAGCCAATGAGAATGCATGCTAGGAAACAGAAAAAAAAGCTTTAAGCGCGGGAAAACGCGAGTTACCAAGTTACAATTGGTTTTAGTTGTGCGGTCGAAAGGATAGTACGAGTTTTCTAGACCAATCACAGAGAGAGGTAAGGTTGTAACTTGGTTTTAGTTTTGCGCCTAATTGACCGAAAGGATGGCACGAGTTTTCTAGACCAATCACAAAGAGAGGTAAGGCAAAACCAAAATGATCCGATCCTTGATCACTGAACGCCAAAAAGAAAATATATCTCTAATGACCAACTCTAATCGGCTTTGTAGCTAGCTCAGTAGAATAAAGCGCTGCAACTCTATCACTGAACGGGTGCTTCGAGTCTCGTTGAAGCCTGAATCTAAGCCTTCTTTACAAATCTATTCTATCTATGCAAAGAAATGAACTATGTCGATTTTTTGGAGTTAATAACAGGATTTAGATCGCACTTTTGGCAGCCCAGCGTTTTCTTAAGAACAAGCATACTTACCTGTCCATAAGTTCTTTAGTGAAGTTCTTCATCTTCTCTGAATATTCATGTCCAATACTTTGGGTCTGATCCAACGCAAAGATAATGTCCAACATCTGACATGGGAGTTTTAGAGGTTGGCCTTTATAAATAAATGAACAATAATGAAAAACCCCGGCACTTCAGAAGAGATGTTTACAAAATCGCAGTTTCAAAAATCTCTCTATACCTCTATACTTTCCCATGTTCCGTCATCATACCGCAAAAGTGTTTGTAAGCCAAAAAAATTGTTAAAATGACCGCAGTTACACAAATTTAAACCTTATAGTTACGCTTCTATTACTTATCCTGTTTCCTTGTTTTCTGTTTTTCTGATATTTGTTCAGTTGTTTTGAGCTTTCTCCTCAAGCGCTTTTCAAAGGTCTTACTTTAGATGTTAATTTCGGTCCTTTTTCTCGTACTCATACCGTGGGATTGATCTATCAATAATGCTCCACAAAATACCACGCAGAACCACGTGACTTTCATGCTCGAATTCGTCGCCCTCTGCAGAGGAAGAAAAAATACGTGGTGTTAGTTTGTGGTAAATGAATATTTCAGAACATTGTGGCTATTTTGTATCTTCAGTGGCGCAATACATTTCCTAAAACACTCGAATTTGTTAAAATCGAGTAGAGTATTAAGAGAAAGTATTGGTATCACATTTATATAAAAATGTTTCCATCAGTTTGTGAAAGTCGATTTGTGCAGACTGGTTGGTAAAAATTCAGTTCTCGACCTTTCTTTTTTCTGCTACAAACCTTAGCCTTTGATAGAAACGTGTTGGAATTTGAATTAGTTTCCGCGGCTTGCGCAGTTGCTGTTAAAACTATTCCAATGACGCCTTAAGTTCAGTAGGCATATTCTCCATACTGTTCTCTATACATTTTATAAAGTGCTGACGAGGAGAATTTGTTTAACAATAGGAGCTTCATTAGTTGGTGATCATTTCCTATATTCTCGTGACCTTAATGTTTGATTCAGGGGTGATATTATCAGGAGAAATTAGATGCTAGTCACTCTTAAGGGTCAATTCGCGGAAGGAGGCAAAGAATAGCCCAGGGGCAGCAAATGACCATTAGATTGCATCAGATCATCATGATTCACATGTTTTCTTTTAAAAGTTAAACTAAAAGTGTATTTGCGGAGGGTTAATATTCTTTTCTATGAAAGTCTATCTACTTTTAGGGCAATATTACTCAGACACCCAAAATAAGTTGATAACGGTAAAGCATAAAGGACCTCAACAGATCCAGTAATGAAGTAGAGACGATTTCCTTCTCTTAAGTTTAGGAGTGCGCTTGGCATCACAGTTATATGCAATCTTGAGTCATTCCAATCCGTTGTCACAAAATGCTTGGTTACATCTTCATTAAATGGTATTTTGAGACTTTGAAACGTAGAAAGATGGAAAAAGCAAATATAAACAATCAACAAAAACAATTTCAAAATTTCCCTTTTGATGAGATTTTTGATTGAATCTCAAGTCATGCGCCATTTATTTAAGTTTTAGAACGCTGGGAGAACGCTTCCCAGAAATTGGACTCTATTGGTTTTGAGTTATCTACGCTTTTGTCTATTTTTTCCTGTTTTGTAGTTGTTTTTGAATTTCCTATCAAATACTTAAAAGTTTCAGCTGCCTGTATTGCTCGCATTATTATTTTTAACGGTTGAAATTCCTACACGGACAATGGGCAAGGAACCTCCTCATGAAAATCAAAATGATTCAGTTTGCGTGGGAGGGGGAACCAAACAACCCTCTTTGACGATGTCATGCATTTTACCGCAAATAACTTGACTTGGGTCTGATATAGCTAATTAAAATCTTGGCCACGTAAAGGAGAAAGAGTGGCAAACAATATCTGAGTTGCGTAACATGTGAGGGGGTTAGATTTCTACGTAGCCATCGCAGAGAATCCTTCCTGGCGCTCAGAGCAGGTCTTTTCCCGTTTTTAAGTTTTTTTTTTTTTTCGAAGGAAATCACTGTTTTTCCCGCGGGTTCTTCTCAATCTCTGCAATCAAGTTACTAGCGTCAGGATAATTGTTGGAAGATAGTAAAGATGACCTTGTTTCTTGTAAAAGTATGCTATTTTTGCTATCACCTCTTTTGGGTGATAAATCAGTTACTATTGAGTACAAAACCAAAGGCTAAGAAAAATACCTTGCTGTGATGTGCGACCTGCGTTGCGTGGCTGTCGAAAAAACTTTTGCAGTGAGGACCTTGTAATCTTCACTCACTTACGGCCAGCTCTTTCTGTGCTTATACTTAACAACCTGGAAGGGCCTTTCTCTTTATTTCCTCATTACTTTTGTATTTTGGCGTGCAATATCACTAGGGACGCAGTTCGCTGTAGGAAAACATCCTTTTTCGTTGTCATTCAAATTTCAGAGTCGTTAACGAGGATGATCTAAAATACTAATTGTAAAAACCTCGATTAGCAAATGAGATTTTCTTCCAACACCATGACTGAACTATTGTTATCGGCGGTCCATCGTGAAATAGCGCTAATAAATTTTTTTAATTTGGGCGTACAACAATCCATTAGGCAATGTCTTTGTACGAAGGGGTAATCCCTAACTTTTCGCCAGAAAACATCGTATTGTGGCTTCGTCATTCAATCTTAATACTATTATTTATTTATTTACACGACCCCATTCAAACTTGTTTGCAGCTTAACTGAACCAGGCTGGTTAAATATTGCCGATGCATAAATAAATATTCTTTTCTTGGTTTTGAGTGCTGGTACGTATTTTATCACTACAGTGCCCAATTCATGATGAAAATACGTTCTCGTCTGACCCATTGTATAAAACGTCTCTGAGAAAAAAAAAAAAAGGAAGTCATACGAAGGGGAGTTGAATGAGGTGTTTACGCCTGCCTGAAGAAGCAAAACTGTGCCAATACACAGTAATCGTAAGGACCAGACTGAATGAGCTGACACCTCCGCATCGACAGCATGCGCCCTTTCGGTTAAACAGACAACGAGCAAGACTCGGAAGTGACAAGAGGATGTCATCACAGAGTAATGTTATGTTCTTAAATCATTTAGCGCTTGTGATTAAAGAATCAGTAAAAGAGTATCCATTCAAAGCAGGATCGGAAAGATAGATTTCTCTATTTTTATTTACTAACAGACAAATTGCGAAATGAACACAAGTGGAGAAAGAGCAGTGACAGTTAATGCCCTCCGTGAGCTCTTATTTCACAACGAATTTATCTATCATATCTATCATGTCATTTATCTATCATATCATTTATCTATCATATAAATATAGATTTGTTGTTGTTGTTTTTGTTTGATTCCTTATGCAAAATGCTGTAACACTTTAACACTTCCTCGAAACCGTTCTCTGGTACAATAGCATGGACGCAGGTCTCGCCCCTTGTCCAGCTCGAACTGTCCGAGTTTATGTCGTGAAATCAAACTTTCAATACCATTAAAAGTATCTCAATGAGTACCTAAACGAACTTTCCGAGCTTCTGCGTTTTGCAGATGCTAATAAAACAATAATATTGAGATACTATCACCTAAATTTTGTGTGTTCTTCAAAAACGCTTTTTTTTTCTTCTCATTTGAGTGAAAGGGTGTCTAGGCTTTATCCAATTACTAAGCCATTTAATGTTTGTTCTTAGGAGAAAAATAAATAATCCAAGATCAGACAACTTAAACTAAAACTCACTCCCTTGCAGTGCCACTAGGCCGATGATTAGAGGTTGAGTGCTTACCTGCACTTGACTCGTTTAGTTGATCTTTTGAGCTTCTGTATCTAATCCAGTCCAGTTCATAATTCAATATCACTATGACCGTAGCTCATCACAAAAAAACTACCTATGTTTGTTGCCAGTACATTAATTTACATTGCCTGGAATGCCCCAAAAAATTAAACAAAAACATCTTAATTACAGAGTGTAATTTCAGGTTATGATGAATTAACTGTTGAACTCTGTAATTCAAAAGTCCTATTAATAGTTTTTATTACTTTTGACATAACACAAAAGCAAAGGTTGGGATTGTCACCACAAATTAAATAGCGCCTGTAATTGTTTAAGTTTTCATCTCCTTCGTTGTAGTTTAAGCAGGCGTCACATAACTACAGTAATTTGGCTCCACACTCAGTGTTTATCGGTGTTTTCTTTGTTACCATGTTAAAGAAATAATTTCCTCAACCATTCTTGAGTCCTGAAAGTTTCAAATGCAGAAATGCAAAATTACCAACTAATCTAACAAAATCCTTTGAAACAGAAGACTGGGCGAAAAAGCAAAATTAAGTACCTTCGGGTGCCGCCTGACTTTCACCTCAGCGTTTGAGTGATAGAGGCCAAACTATGTCAGAGTATTTTCAATCCCTGGTGTTCATTCAAGGCCATGTACCTCTACTGAGTTCGTACTAAAAACAGATGATTTTCGCGAATCACCTAATCGATGATTGTTCAAAGTAAGTTTTTCACTGGGTGCAAGAGATCAAACCCTCCTCTCAGAAAACGGAAAGAATATTACTCAATAAACATCAAATAAAGCACTAGGCAATTTATTTTGTTGGGATAAATTTATATGTATATTGAGAATTGATTTAAAAAAGTGCGCGTATTTAGTGTTGTATCTTTGAGAACTGTTTGCGTTGAGCATTTTCTCACAAAATCTCTACCAAAAGTACTTACGTAAAACTAGATATTACCATATATTAATATTTACGCAAATAACTAAACTATCACTATTACGATATTTTGGTACACGTACATTAAATCCGTAAGTATATTAAGAAATGGTCGAATTGTTACTGTTTTCAGTGATGACAATCCTGAGAGCTTCTCTTTGTAGATAAAAACAATCAAATCAGTCCAGAGAAAGTCTATGTTGTGAAGGAAAAACTTTCAAGTATGGAAGATTAATAATTTCTATTTGATGTGACACAATTCCAGGAAAACCCATCGCAACATACTACTGGGGATGTTCAGTTACTTCCCAGAATTCAAGTGTAACCCTTGTGCGTTTCCATGTTTTTTAAATAAATACCAGAATCAAGAAATTCTTTCGATCACATCTACGGGGTATTCAATGTAACTATGCACTATCTCCTTTAGAATTTTTTTCCCATCTGTATAAGATAATTACTGCACCATCACAGCATAGAGAGAGGCTCAAGGTCGAGTCAGCTAATGCCTTTTAGGTCACACCATGCCAGAGTTAACTCCCATTTCTGTAGCGTAAAAATTTTGCGGCATATTGGCACCTGCCCTCCTAATCAGAATGCCAGTTCATTGCATGGCTGCCCCCAGCAGTGCCAGTAACCATTTGTACTCTTGAGCAGAGAGAGAGTTCATGTGGGCTGGATTTTAGTGTGTTTCCAAAGATCACTACAGAAAGCTGGGATCAAAAGCATACCTTTAAAAACAGATTCCACTGATTTAACCTCCAGGCCATTGTGTTTCCCATAGCAAATTAAGAAGAGCAGGAACATTAACATTATAATACAGATTACCAGTACTCCTTACAGTCCAAGGGGTGTGAGGAGGAAGGGAATGAATAATGAGGTATGACAAAAAGGGGCCATGTCAAAACACACCCTTTGATGCTATTTCTATTTTTTTTAAGAGAACAGGAGACAGCTTGTAGTTTACATTTACATAATTTAATGAAATGGTCAATGAACAAGTTCCTACTAAATGAACCATACTGTATGCTGTTTGTAGAGAAATATGTTCAAGCAATTAGGTGAGATTCTCAACACTCACAGTCTTCAGATCTGAAGCACTGCTATTCAGATTATAGAAACTCTTCCGCACCATTTCTTCATGATTATAACTGACATCCACATAATCACCATTGGACTTCATACTGCACACCCATGACCTCAGCCTTGGCCAGGGTGTTAGGTCAAAACACACCAGCTCTAACAAAGAGAGGACTACAGCAACCCAGCAATCTGCAATAGTGGATGAGTTGCCGCACAGAAACTCATGGTGACACAAATAGTGCTTTTCTAAAACATCCAGGTGGAAGATCACTTCATTCTTGCCGAAGTCTACCAGGGAGGAGTTGCTTTCTTTGGCCAAGGCAACTCCTGGCCAGTTTAAGCTTGGGTAGACATAATTATTTCCAATGTCCCTAAAAAAAGAATGTTTTAATTGCAGAAAAAAAAATCAGTTGATATGAGTTGATGGAATACCATACATTAAAAATAACTTAAAATTGTCAGATTGTATTAATATTGTTTCAATATTAATTGAATTTAAGAGTTTTAAACATACATTGGTTCTACAAATACATGTATGTAGCAGTGATAGCTAAATTTGAACAGCTGCAAACAACTGAACCACAACCTGTAAATCAATCATACAAGTTAAAGTAACTGCAATACCTTTTACTAGATTCATGAAAGTTTGAAATTGTTTATATCAAAAGAATATTGACCTTGGTGACTCTGCACACAGCATTAAGTCCAGCCATAAAAATCTATCTTTAAATTTCAAACACCCCTTTCTCTGATTAAACCATAAGTTACTGTATGAAATTATTCAAGATTACTGGATGATCATGATGATGTACAACTTGGGGTTGTTGCTATTGGCATTGGCTGTCAAACAGATGATCATTGGCTGAATTTTTACATTTGAAACTTAGCAAAGGGTACTTGTTTACACTACTCTTTTTCAATAACCTGCATTTGAAATCATGTTTGGTAGCCTCACTGTGAAGGGCTTGCTGAAGATTGGGATTAATATTCTGTCACCAGGTCTCCTTTTGGACTGGTTCAACTCTATTTTTAACCAGCATACTATTTCCTTGGCTACAACCCTTTCTGTTACAGGTATATCAGACACATTTTTTTGTGTGTAATAAATTGCTAATTCAGGTTGAACCATTTTGGAGAGGGTTCTGGTCTTACACCCTGCCAATAAATGCATGTGTCACTAAAATGAACAAAGAGTGTTTGTCTCTTCAATGCTAGTTGTAAGCCTGTAATAAGTTAGATAACTGAAGAAAGTAAACCTCAGTCAGTATAATACCTCAGTAGTGTAGTGGCTGCCCAGTTAATGACAGACTCTATCAGTGGTCTTTCATTGTTTTTTCCAAAACCTGCATAGTTTGTGTATTTCTCTGCCAAGTAATAGACTATAGCCTGGCTATAAAGAAAAGAAAAGAAAACCAAAAAAGCAGGAAGTGTTAGTCTGTTAAGTTTCTCAAATTGATCCTCCCAGATCTGCCACTGACAATGGGGCCATAAATTTCTCTTTACCTAAGACTACTATGCAGTCTAATAGCATAAATGTTGGCTTCATCTGACACACCCATGAAGCTCTAGTAAACTTAATAAGTTATTTGTGTGCTTGGTTTCATTATCATTGAGTTGATGAACAGTGTCAAAAAATTGTGACATAACAGGAGATACATTTTTCCAAGTTAAGGTACATTTTGGTTATCACATATTTTAGGTATTCATGGATCAAATTTTTCCCCACAGAAAATGGCTCATTGATTGAAAAACCTTGTAGCCACCTGGCACAGATGAGCCTTATGATAAAAGTTTACCTCCCATAAATATTATGGCCACCATCTTGCAATACTGGCACTGTACCAAGAGGGCTTCTGCTTTCAAAATCTGAAGGCTTACACTCATCCAAATCAATCATCATAAATGGAATTGCATTCTAAATTAAAAGAAAATAACCGACAAATAACAATGCACACAATCCACAAGTTCTTGGTAGAATGTTAAAAAATTGCTACAAGTTAATTCCAACTTCTTCCTGTCTTTTATCTCAAAATCTTTGGCTTAATTCATGGTTATCAATTCGTAGAAATTCATATTCCATTTAGTTTTTAATATCATAAAGCAAAAAATTCATAAGATTTGAAAGAACTATGATTTTATGTGTAGTTTTACGTGATGTTAGTCCAAATTTCTGAACTTGGGTACATGAGTACATTTTTGTAAGGACTCGGAAATTCAGCTGGTACCAAATAGATCGGAGAATTTATCGTCAAATAATAAGCGTTTAAGGGTTGAGGTTCCAAAAATATTTAAGCTTCCAACTGTTTCACAGTAAAAAAAAATATTAATTCAAGTCTTCAGAGAGGAAGAAGAGCCGTAGAAAAAGTGCTTTCGGTGGAAGTTTTGAGGGAAACTGTGTTTGAAAATTTGGACTGACCGTGCGATCGGCAAAGTGAGCAAAACATACGTTAGTCTTTCTCAACGAGTCATTCATCTGGAAAAGAATTATTTTTGATACTCACCTGTTTTAAGTAGAGCCAGACAATGCGGCATGAAACACTGTTTCTTTTCATAAACAACGTCGGCCTAGTCGCCATTTTTAAAGTCGACTTCTTCCTCAACCCCAGATCTCGCGCAAATGTCTCCGAAATTAAGATGGGATGGTAGCGAATTGAACGTTGATCAAATTTCTGCGGTTATTTAATAAATTTGACATCGATTTACAAAATAAAGCCCCGCAGAAAAACCTTGAAAATTTACCACTTTTGCTTGTGCAATGCTTTGGTGGAACTCATTTTATCGTAATACAAAAGAACAACCAAGATTCAACATAACTTCACAAAATAAAGCCCTGCAGACAAACATTGAAAATTTACCACTTTTACTTGTGCAATGCTTTAGTGGAACTCATTTTATCGTAATACAAAAGAACAACTAAAATTCAACATCACTTCTTAAAATAAAGTCCTACAAGCAAACTTTGAAAATTCACCACTTTTACTGGTGCAATGCTTTGGTCGAACTCACTTTATGGTAATGCAAAAGAACAAGCAAACGCATGACAGTCCGTCCGTCTACCAATCCATAAATCCATTTACTCATTCATCAACTTCTTGCTGATATACCGTGCCCAGAAATCGGACAGTTATCACTTTTCCGTCTAATACTGTGTGAGCAATGTTTTTTTTACACTGAAAGCAATGTTTTTTTTAACATGTTTAAACACTGATTTGCAGTGATTGCTTCTGTTGTATTCCAGAATACAATCAGAATCGAATTCCTTCCATTAACCAAAACACTTCGTCTCAAGTTGTACTGGGTTTATGATAGTACCTCAGTATTCAAGTCCGAAAAGTCGCGTTAGATCAAAAGTTAGGGGTCACACAACCATACTTCAAGCGGTGGAATTGGAGCAGCCATGCAAGGGATCGAATTCACCTGTTACCAGTCATAATGGCGGCCATAAATTTAGTGAAGAAAATACCGAGCACTCGCTCGTCAAAATATTTTCTGGTAGAGTGTTTTAAATCCCTGTGCTTTTAAGATTGTTCTGATTACAGATAGCATAAGAGATCGATGATAGGCAAAGAAAGATTGCCAAAGAAGTTTTGTTAAAGACATGTGGAGCAGACAGGAAACCTCACTTCATTTGTGAATTGACCTTGCTGGTCCTGAATTTTAACAAGCAGGATCAAAGTTATCCACGGCTGAAGTCTCCAAGAATACAACTTCTTTCTTAGATAGCCTAAACTCCCAGACACATTTGTTCGTACCTTCACTACCTCCCTTGTCCCTCTGAATGTTTGTCTGCAAGATTGCATAAACACATTGAATGTTAACCACATCCAAAGGGAGAGAGCAGTGAAAGAACATCCCAGAAGTTGATCTGGAGAAGTGACCCAACTAATGATTTCTGGGAGAGTAGATAAGCTGCTTTGTTAGTAAGCTCTAGTCAAGCATTTAAACCCACGATTAATGATTGAATACGGTCACGAGTTCCTGCGGGTAAAGATCCCTTCGATTTCTATTTAATTGATGTCGATTATTCTTAATAATCTAACTCATGAAAATCTCAAGTGATGGCTTAATAGAAAGACGATCAAGAGAGTGTTTTAAATGGACTTTTTGCGTCTCTCAGCCGGTCAGTAAAAACAACAAATATCAGCTCTTGAACAAAATACTCCTTAAAAGGAAGCTTAGATACAGAGAGAAAATAATTGAACCAAACTATTATTGAGACTAACCGTAAGTTCAAGGCTAAAGATTAGTCTGCTCCTCGTAGCTCTCTAACCCATTGTTTAATGTGGATTAAAATAAAATAAATCTGGGACTTGCTCCAGACAGCCGCGTCGATTAATTTGCAAACCACCCTGCGTCACACTTGCAGGGTCACCTCTGACTCCGAAGGTATAACTTCGCGAAATTCGAAATAAAACTCAGGGAAATCGTGCTGGATTTTCTAACCATACCACGTGAACATGTTTCTTTCAACAACAGGGTAAAAACCATTTCGGACAGTTAAACAGAAGTCAAACTAATGATACACTAAACAGAAGTTTCAAAGTCAATTCGGTCCCATTTCGCGAAAACCAACCGTACACTTCTCACCAATTAAACCAAGCATGTCATTTTATTTCACACAGAAGATATTTGCCTTTCTATTAATCAATTCCTGATCCTACGAAGCTTGGAGCACAAGGCTTAAAGAAAGACCTTCTCGCAAATTAGAGCAAGGAATATGCATAACACCCACTGACCTATTGTTATTGTTGTCGGAGTAGCGCCCCCTTTTAATTTGCTGAAATCCGTTCGAATACTCTTTTCTTGAGCTAACATCAAGGCTTTCTAAACGATTTTCGAGGCTCCCGCCTTGATGCACCGTTTCATAACTTTTTTACCCCGAACAATCGTTTCTTAAATATAGCACCAGAAGCAACGTGTGACCGCCACGCCTTGACTTTATCCTCTCTTGGCCTGGAACCTTAGCATATTTTAACCGGATCTGTAGAGCAGCATCCTTGGCAAAACCTCAGGTCCGACGAGTTCTGCGTACTCCTGAACCTCCCCGCGATCATTTGCCTCTGTATAAGCTTCATACATCTGTCAGGAGAGACGCATCAGCGACAGTAAGTGTTATTGCTATGTATTACATCAAACATTCTAGTTTTCTTCTTATGTTCGTAACTGTTCCAGTGTCACGCAACGCTGACTCTGGATGATTATCGTGGGGGAGCATTACGTGACATCAAAAGAACGGCTGCAAAGGACACTACGTGAATCCCTACTACGAGACATTTCATTCGTGCCACAGTTAATCGTCAATGGAAAATGAAAAAAATTGACAAATTTAGCCTCGATTTTCCAAGAAGTAACAACATCAAGTGGGGTCTACTCGCTTAAAGTAGGACAGAAAAAGGTTAGAGGAAAGGCCGGGAAAGGGGAGAGGGGGTGGGAAGGAGGAACAAGGGGAGAGAAAGAGCATATATAAAGTTAGAGATTACCTGGTAAGGTAGGGCTTTCCGCTTATAAAAAACAAGCACGTCATCCGCGGTTGCTTTGGGAGATTCTAAAAAAGTTGTGAAAAAAAGATTTGTTTGACAAAAGCGACTTTACAACGAATAAAGGTCAAGACAACCTACGAGTGATGAGAAGTCTCGTATAGCTTTGCTCACGAAGCAAAAAGCATGTTTAGTTACACCGGGTTTAACTGAATGAAAATCTGAATTTTCCATAGGATTCAAGTAATCGCCGACTTGAACTTCCCTGAAGTGTGCTACATTTGAAGCCGACAAACATGGGTTTAAGCAGCTTGTATAGAGCAAAACTTTAAACAATGTTTAACCGAACAGCTTTAAAACATGTTTGAGCTTTGGTGTGAATGGGGTTTAGGTCAAGAAATATACTACTGCAATTGCAACCAAAATTAAAGAAGACGAGATCATAAGGAGGTTTGTTACAACGAGAAAATGTGTCGCTTGCTCTCTTTAGATGGGGAACTCATGAAATTCTTCGCAAGGAAAACAACACTAAAAGTGTCTCTGGCCAGTGCTTCACCCCACACCCCATAATATAATACTCCCACCACCCACAGATTTACCATGTCTCACCTTCGTCTGAGTCGTCGAGCCGAGAATAATTACTGAGGTCGAGCTTAGGGAGACACTGCTTCATGGGAATCCAATTGAACGTCTCTGGACAGGCCAGGTAGGATGGTGAGTAGTTACCCTGGAGAGAGAAAGCAGCACAGCGATGTAAATCACTTTCCGATTGACTGTCGTGAAACTTAACTCAGCCAATATGACCAAAAGCCAAGTTATTGCTGATGCCGGTCAATGTACACACCTTGTATCTCATTTTTGGACACGAGTGTATGTAGAAACCCATGTAGTAACTCTGAATGGTCGGGACGCTTTTTTGAAGGCAGCGAGCAAAATGAATTTCCCTACGAGAGAGATGAAAGCAAAAGGCTATAGGCGTTTGACTGTACATTCAGAGAGATAAGTGTATGAAATGGCATGCTAGAGGGGCACCCGGTCACTTCGCCGCCAATCAACTCGCCGACACCATTAGTCACCTCGCGGACACTTTTGGTCAACTCGCGGACAGTCGAATTTGGTCGACTCGCCGACGTACCGGTTACCTCGCCGACATACTTGGTCAACCTTCTTTTCGAGTTAGAATTGTTTCAAACCGTTCATATGGTTTTCACACCTGCAGAACTAACAACACGTTCAGTTTCATCTGACTTGAGGAGAATTTAAAAACTGGAACTGAAAATTGGTTTTGGGCAGATATTACTTGGTAATTCCGCCATTCTCCAAGACTCCGGTTCAAGTACCGACAAGAGATTAGAAACAGTTTACATTCTCTTGGTAACGAATAGGAGCATGATCAAAAAAATAGAACTCTGAGAGGGCATTTTAAAAATAAGACTAAAGTTTACCTCAGAGCGGAATAGACCCCAAGAGATAAAAATGAATAATCGGGATCATAAAAGAAATACACAGACGAAACGCAGCGCGGAAGAATGTCTAGCACTCCAACTGCTATGAGTTTATCTGCCACAAAAAGACAAACAAATAAATGAAACAACAACAAAAAAGAACGAAAATTAGCTTCTCTCTCAAAGATGGTTGGAGACTGTAACCATACGGGCAAAACAACACTAAAGGTTTGCACATAAGAATGCATTCCAGAAGTATAAGCGTCAAAATGCACAAGGTGCGATGTGTGAGCAGAATAAAAACGTAGAAAGACAGTGAAACATTAATGAAACGCCACAACGCAAAAAAGTGAACATACGGTAAGCGGAACATTTAACTTACCTTCTCCATTGTTATTTTATATTGTAAGCTGAATTAAACACGCATTTTGACCGGTTCTTACCTATGATCTATTGGAGGACGGACGCATAGATGACATCACCACTAACAAGATTTTGCATTTTCTATCATATAACTCAAATGCATATAGATTCCATGTTTCCGTGCGTCTTTTCAATAATAAATCATAGAGGACGTCATAGAGTACTGAGAACATCAATAACACACTAAGCTACGCCTCGTGTTACTTTTTGGTTCTTAAACGACTGTGAATATATAAAAACGTGAATATGAAAGCGATCTTCGCAGTATTGAACACCACTTGAGCAGTAGTGAAACTAAGGCCTGAAAAAAATTCAGGCCTGTACAGGATTTGAACCCATGACCCCCTCGATACCGGTGCAGTGCTCTACCATTTGAGCTGACAAGCCGACTGAGAGCTGGTCAATAAGTTGGTACCAAATAAACCCGTAAAGTGGTAAATAAACGACTATGAATATATGAAAGTCACATATTAGAACTGCGGATAAAGAAGTGAATATGAAAGCGATCTTCGCAGTATTGAACACTACTTGAGCAGTATTGCAGTATCGCAGTATCGCAGTATCGCAGTATCGCAGTATTGTAGTATCGCAGTATCGCAGTATTGTAGTATCGCAGTGTTGCAGTATCGCAGTATTGCAGTATCGCAGTATCACAGTATTGAACTCTACTTTTGTTTCTTATCACATTTTGACGTCATCTGTGATCTAAAGACGTTTGCGATACAAAGGAAATGGCAAAGATGACCATGTGACCAATTTGCCGTTTGCCCTCTGCCGTTTTCAACGTGAAGGGAGGAGGTTTCATATTAATGAAAAGCGCGAGAAAAAGTATATTATTTTATGCTAGTGTAAAGTATTTTAGCAATCGTGAACTTTGAGGGAAAGCTTCTTCACTCCTTCTTTGTGGTAAAACAACTGTTTCGCATGGACTTTAATTGAAAATTATCGGAAATAATACTCAAGCGCAGTTAACTCCGTACTGTTCTTTGTTTTAAAGCATTTCGCTGGGTACGCAAAGCTCAAGTGCAAGAGGTGACGAAGGCAAACGGAAAACGTCATGTAGTCGTTATTCGTTTGCCGGAAACATCATGATTAACATCTCTATTAGTGAACAGACGCACGACGACATGGAATCTATTTGTGAAATAAATACTATTTCCAAAGTCCGTGGGTGAGCTCCTAGTAAAACAACTTACCGCCGAGAAAGTATTGTTGATGAAACGATCCAAAGCCCATTGGTGGGGCTTCTGGTCCAGTTGTGCGCTGAAAGGTATTAAGAGAACAAACAATTCAAACATTCAAAGATTTAACTTTCCGAGCTTGGTGATGGGAAAAAATACTCAAACGACTAATTCAAGGATTCATTGTATTAAAATATTTTATTTTCATGACACAAAAAATGACTCATCTCCGTCGAGAAGTTCATCATGTAGTCTACCGTCCAGGTGAAGGTAACCTTGCAGGGATTTCGATTAACTCTTTCCACACGCCCCAAACACGAGAGAGAGAGAGAGAGAGAGAAAGCCTGCTCACACGCTAAATAGACAGTGCTAAGAGGACTTACAGGTGATGGTAGACTACTGGAAAATAGCTTATATTGAAAGCCTGGGTCTTGAAATATACTATTGTCGATAGTGGTGACTGTGGTGACTGACAATTTGATGACATTAAAGGAAGCCCTTATGAGAGACGCTTCTATGGTTTTCAAAGAGTCACTACCAGCCACAACTAGCCTTCGCAGCGCTATTCGCACCCGGACGATCAAACTGAGATCAAACTGGGTTCAAATATTTACTGTTTATAATGAGTCTTTAAAAGGAACACTGTGCATATAATATAAACATACCTCGAGAGGAGAGTCAACCAAGAATCTTTTGAACTAAAATCAAACAATTCAAAACATACTGCTTGAAAACGATACAAAGTAATCAGAATAATCCTTACCTGAAGTTCAGGTAAATGTTACCATTTAGGTGATGCATTAAATACATGTAATTCTTATAAATAATAATCTTTATTACATCTGCATTGTTTCTGTGGTTTGTAAGCAAACGTTCCATGCTCCTTGAATGCTATGATAATTATTATTAGTTTATTTTTGGTAAAAATTGTGTTTGT